TAATAATAATAATAATAATAATAATAATAATAATAATAATAATAATAATAATAATAATAATAATAATAATAATAATAATAATAATAATAATAATAATAATAATAATAATAATAATAATAATAATAATAATAATAATAATAATAATAATAATAATAATAATAATGATAATAATAGTAATAATAACAATAATAATAATAATGATAATAATAGTAATAATAACAATAACAATAATAATAATAATAATAATAGATAATAACAGCAAACGAAATGGAAAACTGCCGGAAAAATTTCTGAACATTTTTTGGATGGAAATAAAAGGAACGGAAAAGAAAAAACAACAAGCATTGGGTAGCACTGTAATAAGGCACGATACCTCAATCAAAATGAGAAGACCTGATGGCTAACTAATATTTTGGTCCTCACTCATTCTTTCTCCCTCAATCTCTTTCCATTTTGATAATACAAAGATTTCGGTGTTTTCAATCCTTCGTAATCAATTCGAAACTCTTCCGTTAAACAAGAGAATTCAAAAAAAAAAACAACAAATTAAAAGATTTTGTGATTCTGCTCTGTTCCAAAGAAATCAAACTATTTACTTCTTTGCATATTCCGCTATGGCAATCATTCCGGATTCCGCAGTAGAGTAGCTTACTTGGCTACTTTTTCTGCTTCGTTTCTTAAACCTGCTGTCGATGATCTTTACTTTAATCTTTAAAAGAAAAACTTCCTAGATCTCATCTCATCCGGAAATTCGGGACTTGACATTATGCTGGTTGCATAATAACTTCTTTTTAAGTAAATATGTCTTAGTGAGTGATAGTTGGTAATAAATCAGTTAATGCTGACTTCCGTGTACAGCCAACTGTAGGTTGATGCCAAATGAAGGAGCTTTTTTCAGAGCATTTGAAGGAATGGCAATTTCCTGTCCTTTTCCAAAAATCGATTTTCTCACAGAGAGCCAAGGGAATTCAGCATCCCTGTGGAACACAATATATTATATTTTAGACCAATTCAACTTTCAGCCAATTAAATCTCATACAGTTGTTTTATTTTTCACTTGTTTTTTAATTCGAGAACTTTGTTCACATACGATTTAATATCTGAAAACTCTTTTCTCGAAATTACAAAGAATACGACATAATTGAAATCCGATAGCCTTTAGGATCTGTCGTATTTTTATCCCTGTAATGCTTAGTCATTAAGTCTTGTGTAGAAATTGTATTATAATTTAAACATAATTATTCAAAAATTCCTCATCTCATCCGGAAATTCGAAATTTGACATTATGCTGGTTGCATGGTAGCATGAGTAACTTCTTAAGTAATAACTTCTTAAGTAAATATGTTGAGGTTCATTTCATAATAACCTGACAACCCCTTAACTGGATCATTCTGAGACCCCATTTAGAAATGATTCCCAAAGAAGTCTGAAGAATTGGATCCAATTTTATAGATAGTTTGAAGTAATTGTTTCCAGTTTTCCTCAGTCATCTGAGAGATTTGATCATTGATTGGGATTTGTTTCCCACATCATTGAATGAATATACAGTTATATCCTTTACTATTGCTTATTGTCATTACCCTGGCAATCCAGAAGATCAGCATATCGCCATGAACATGAGGCATATTTTGGATTTTAGCAATAAATTAGGAAAAGGATCTGCTTAACTCTGATGTCTTCAGAAGACAGTATTACCACCGATTCATTTGCCAAAATATTTTTACTGGTAGGTGTATATACTGTACCTATTTTTCCTATTGCTGTTTAGTAGATGATAAGCCATTATGAAAGGAAGCTGTCATACCTTCCGACCTTTCGGATAATCCGATAAAATAATCGACAGACTTTCCTCAGCATAAAAAAAGGGTGAATGTTTCTTTCCTCATTTCGTTGGGAAGTAAATACGTAAGTCCCTAATTATATTTCCAAGTAAATAAATCAATGAGGGGAGGTTTTATTATCATTGATAAGAAACTTTATCATGAAGATATTACAAAAGGAAGTAGAACTTGTCAGTAAAAACCGAAATATTTTTAGTATAGAAATGATGTGGACATTGAAAAGATGTGTAGATCAGCCCGTGCTGTAAGATGTTGCAACTCATGTTGATCATCATATGCAGTGTCGGTATACTGTAAAGAATCTCAGATCAATGTCGATATATTGTAAAGAACATTATGTCATCTTGAGGTCAATCGGTTTTAACTTCTTGGATTATTGTAAACAAATTCCCATTGTATAACATATGGCGGAGCTATTCTACAAGAGGTCACTCCACATAAATCTTTCCAGAGGTCATTCTACAATTGAGGTGTTTCGACAGTTCAGTTGTAGTATTCTCAGGGAACTCTCTTGTAACATATAATACTTCTCCGTCTACCAATAATCCGTCATTAACAATATTCGATTGTGTCTACATACAGTATTTTCAAAATTTTCACAACAAAATTTAGGATACACGATTTCTCATGAAAGTTGAGAATTTTTATTGACTTTTTCTATCCCCCTTATCATGAACTGATAAGATACAAAAAATGCTGGAAATAATTTGCGTTCGAGGACTATTTCCTTCTGTTTATATTGCTATTTTTTAGTGAGAAAGAATAAGTTGTAAACAATACATAGCTGGTGTTATAATATTTAAAATCTTGAAAGGAAAGTGTTAAGGGAAAATTTCCAAGAAAGAATTAGGGACAAAAAAGAATTTATTTTTATTTCGATTCTACCCTTATTATTATTTCCTGTCACAAATTCCAGCCAATGTGTACTTCTGGTCTAGAGTTCAATACCTTTTCCACTCATCCAGAACATTCAGTGGATTTGAACTATCGCGGGATACGAATAAAAGTGTATAAGAATGGTGATCAATATGACCCAGGAACAATAGTGGTTATTTGTCGAAAGAGATTTAAACACTGGCTTACTTTTCTGGACTTTCTTACTAAGAAATTAAATTTAATGGCTCCTGTTCACGAATTCTATCGAACAGATGGCTTCTGCATTCGACATGTTTGTTTTGCATTAAAGTATTTGATCATTATACAATTACAATTACAATTGATAATTGTAACCGCAAAAATCAAGTCAGTATGAAAGGCGTTCTCAAGTAGAATGAAGTTTTTGGTAAGTAAAACAAAAGTTAGTCTTGACAAAATCATTTTGATCTATTTCAGTGATTCAAGCCAGGACATTACTAAATAACTGAACCATCAAGCAAAAATACTTTCTTCAAAAATTTGGACTAAAAAGTTGTACTTGTTCATTTAAAGGCATTAAATTAGTCCAGCTTGTTAACTACATCGCATTTTATAACCTCTGGTCAGTAGAGAGATTCGTTTTATTTTACAGTTCGAAGAAATTGAAAATGGAGGATCATACGTAGCTGTATCTCAAGGACCATTTCTTCATAAACCGTATGGATTGCTATTTGAAGATCGTGAAGTATGATTTGTCCCTTCTAAAACTTCTATTTTTTATTATATATATTTGAAAGAAGAGTTGATAAGATATTCGGTCGTCTCGAGTAAAGTAATAAATAAATTTAACAAGTTTTTCCATGATTGCAGAAATGGAATATCAATACAAAATTTGAATCTGCAGAACAGAGCACTCTTGATTCGGCTGAATCCGTGGATATTTATCTGAAACAACGTGGTTACACTTCTCGAACCGGTCTTCCATTCCCATTTGATGGCGGTGTTTGTGCCAATCATTCTTTAATGGATTTTGGGCGTAATCGTGATCCTTCGTCCAATCTTTCTATCCGTCAACATCGTAATGAGCAGGTAAGCTGAAGCCGAAGAATTTTCAGAGCTGATCGAAAGTGTGGAAAGAGGTCAATTTGATGAGTGACACTTTTGAAGGTGACATTAAATTTACAAAGATATTATTAACCAAAACAGAAAGAAAGCCATTGCAGCAGCTATGTTGAGGAAGCTTTTGTATTGAAACTACTGACTGCTTCTAAATGATTAAGGCATCACTGATTTGAAAATGGGACAAAAAAGGCCTGCAATTTAAACATCATCACAACTGTTGGAGTTAAAACAAAGCGAAGCTCATCGAGACTTGGGAAAAATTGATGAGTCGAATTGAGCAAGAGAAACCGCCCATTCCAGAACATTTCTTGGTCAAATGGAATGCTAAAATTCTAGGCTTGGTTCGAAGACTGGCTTGAAGATATGATAATCTAATACAGCGAGAATCAGGAGAACCAAGTTAGAACTGATTTGGTACAGTGAATGAATTGTTAAACTTCGATTTTTTGATAATATAAATCCCCTTAAAGAAGGAATTTAAAAAAAAACTTTTCTGCTAAAAAAGTCGTTTTCGGTTTTTATTGTCAAAACTATAAGGATGATAATAAAGAGTTCATTCCAGCCATCATGTAGATTAATTAATAATTATAGATTAGTAGTTATTATTCCTTTTCCTGAACCAATCCTTTTTCTTTACGCACAGTGTCCCACTTAAGTCCATACAATTTACCTTTTGGACCTTCATGCTCGTAAAAATTATATCAATGATGCCAAGTCATAACCTTGTCTCCTCTTTTCGAAGACGACGAATCCGTCGTCTTCGAGAAGCACGTTTGTATTTCCTGTCAAGTGGGCACAAAGCTCGGGACACACCTCTTTCTGTTTTGGTAATTTCAATGCTTTTTGATTTAGGAGGAAAAGAATGGATTTTTGATTCTTCCTTTTCCAATTAAAATACTTTTCATTGAAAAAAAGGATTCGATATTCGACATTACTGAAAATTCAAGCAACAAATTTCGAAAAATATTATTGAAAAATCTTTGAAAATTTAGAAACAAGAAGACAATTCGAAAAATGATGAACTACTGGAGAAAAATGACACAAAGCCGGATGGTATAAGAGAAGAGCTGCAAAAATCTGATTTACAGTCAAAACCCCATCCGAACGTAGGTTCTACGATTTGTAACATGGAATCTCTGAGATCTGTTCCTGAAGCTAAGAGCGGAGCACTCTTCTATGAAATTGGAACAATGAATGACCAAAATATTGAGCAAAATGATAACATTCTTCACTCCTCAATGGCTTATCCCGCCAGTCCAATTGCAAACAAAAGCTGGAGAAAATAGTTTGCATAGTGAACTTGGAACCCAAAGTGACCGTAAGCCTACTGTGAAGGAATATGAAGAATGTGTAACAGTACCTGTCGTTCAAATTCCAGATAGCTCTCGGGAGTTTGTGGTTACACAGGATGCTAAAAATATGGGGTCATTAGGAACGACACAAACGACGAATTCACTGCCAAGGAGAAGTCCTGAAACTGTTATCACTATAGTAAATGATGATGCATCGATAAGTGCGACCAATAGTTCAGTTATCATTGTGAATATTTCTACAGGACAGAAGAAACGTGATAACGTGAATAACGCCAACAATAATAGCAGCAAAAGTGCTGATGACTCAGAAGTTGGTCTACCACTGGTAAATAAAGTCACAGGCACAGAAGTGCCATCAGAGAGCTTAGCAATGAAAACAACATCACTTTCGGACGGCATTAGAACCGTAGATCGGATACACAGTACTGAAGCAAAAACGCCGATGGCTATATACATTGATAGTGCATCGTCAGCAGCAACAACTAATCGATCATCCGCATCTGTCAACACCGAGGAACAAGGAGTAAGGACAGTCTTTTCGAAGAAGTGTGGAGAAGACGAAGACAATGCTACAAGTTCTAAAATAAATTCAAAGGGATGCTCTGACAGTGTGTTAATAGAAAGAAATTCTGAAGGAGAAAATAACTTGATAAGCAAATCTGAAAAATCTCAGAATGTGATTTTGGAACAAAATTTAGGGACAAAATTAAGAGAAAGTCCAAAGCAAAAGACAAATTTAGAAGCGAATCAGAGTGATATGCAAGTCTGGGATACTTCGAAAAATAATTCCAAATTAAGTGAAGTTTCCAGGAATATAAAAGAACCAAAACTATTATCTGTAGAACGAAGTGAATTCGAGCATGTTTCTAACAATTTTGAATACGATAAAGAGAACGATAGTGCTAAGAACAGTCAGTCAAGCCACATAAGCGTTGATTCTGAACATAAATATCGAAGTAAAGATGTAAGACGAACAAGTCATATAGTATCAAATTCAGGAAAAACCCAAGAATCTTCAACAATAGATAAGAATTCAGACAATAAAAAACGTGTTACCCTAGTGGCACCTCCTGTTGTTGACATGGATTTGGAAACGGAATCAGAAAAAGCAGAACTTTTTTCGGATTCGGAAGGACAGCTAAGCTCTCCGAAACAGACGGCCAAAACCACGGCATCTGCTATCCCCACAGAAGTCCCCAATCTACAACAGAAATATCAGTCAGAAAGCGAAACGAGCTTTGAAGCAGATTTTACGCCAAGAGATGGTCGTATGCAAGGCAATTCGACTCCTATGAATAGTCTCCGAAAAACTAAAATTGACTTGGATTTGAATACAGATATTTGCGGGTTGCCAACACAAAATAGTTATGACCCTGACTTTAAGGAATATGATTTCATATAATAAAACTCAAATTTCTATCACGAATCATATTTGGGGAAAGATGGAAGACCTCTATTTACTACATTACAGACCATCTTCACTTTTTAGAAGTTTCATCCCATTTCCAGGAATGAGGCAAAATTTAAGAGTTGAATTCAGTTGTTTGTTTTATATTTGAGGATTATTTCTTATCATTGCTAAATTTCCTTATATCTTTCTTACTGTTATTAAATAATTCAACTTCAACATTCATCTAAAGCCCCAGCATATCATAAAGCGTCAAGTACAGGAAGGAAACAAATCTGACGTAATTAAAGATGATGAATATTGTCAGTCAATTTCTAATATTCAGTTTTGGAAGAGAATCTGAATTCAAACTCTTCCACTTTATAAGATACAACCATGCACTTTTACCTGTGTTACTTTAATTTAGAAATAAAGGCCAACCTTTGTTCAGATCCATAAGTTCAGATGTCATATATATCCATATACCCTCTTTGTTCAGTTATCATTTAATTTGTTATCTTTTTAACTTTATCTAGCATTTGAAAGTATGAGGTACTATTTTGTACTAAATATATACTAAATGTGATATTTACCAGATAAATATTTACTAAGGACTAAATATGTACTAAATAGGTACCAAAACACTAACGCAAACGCTTCGCTGTCATAAGCATTAAAACAGCACCGCATACCACTGATGTCCAGTAAATCTTTTAAGCTATCACTTCGTAAAAACAAAATCCAAGGGAAGAACCATTCGCCAGCTTCAGAATCATTCAGTTCTTACAAAATTTTACTTTCGCGAGCCCTCGTACAAGGATCAAATCATTTCATACTATCAGATGCATTCCGCTCGAATGCAACAAGCAATGTAAGCACCTTTCTCACCAGTATTTCCATCCAATTACAATTTTGCTGGAAATGCTTAATATGTCGCAGTTTGTTTTGATCCCATTATGCTTTTTATTAGAAATACGGCATTCCACCAAATGACCGATTATTGATCTCATTGGCAACTACTTTTAAGAATACCTCTGCAGAACAGAAACAGTTTTAATTGATTGTATAATTTATAGTACCAAAGATATTTCTCCAGAAGTCAAATTAAAAGTATGTTTGAATTCATACTGCAAACTCACGCGAGTATTTCAATCAACATTATTATTGGTGTTGATATATTACAGGAAATAAGATCAATATGAAAATACGACGATTTCCATTCTGAACGGTGTAAATAAATCGTGTTCGTCGGAAAAATTTCTTTTTTCTAGAAAAAAATTCTTTTTTTGGAGAAATGCTTCGTTGTTCGCTTAACTGTGATAAGGACGTCGAATTAAATTTCCACGATTATGCGTGGAACCGACCAAAAAAGAAAATATTGGCCATATATCTGGTTTCTGAGACACATATGTGTTTGCTTCGGTTAGGTATTTTTGACTTTGAAAAGGTAGGGATTTCACTATGACTGCAACAAACAACGTGTGTATCGTTCATTCACACGTCGAAATGCGGTGGTTGTGTACTTTACATTGATTCTGCTTACCACTGATATAGTGTATGTGCATATGTGACAGTCAAACAAACACTAAACATTTTCACATATTCAGTCAATCGAGGATATTACTTGAAGTTCAATTGATTATCTCGGCAGCAAATAATTTTCTAGCTAGTTGAGCAAAAAATGAGTGAGGAACAACAGTGAAATCTCTAAAATCTCGTTTATGTTTTGATTGGGTATGATTTTAGTAGAATGTCTTCAGTTTTTCATTTCCTATCATAATCTTAGTTAACTTCCAGTCCTATTATAATCTTAGTTAACTTCCAGTAATTTT